ATCCCATTTTAAATTCTGGGGCTCTTTGTTGCACATAAAATAATTTATCTAACGGTGTTATAATCTTTCTGCCTAGAAATAACTCAGCAGGAATTTTGCCCGTTGTATCATGTTTTGCGGTCCTAAGGGCGAAAGCAAATTCATTGACATAGTTATCCCAGCTTTTATGAAAATTTTTTAACATAACTACGGATAATTTTCACTATATTTCTATTGACCCGTTCCGCTATATTTGATTGCGGCCGATACGGGACCATTTTTAAATGACGTATGCCCAGTTTTTGGCACATGTCTTCAAATATATTACTTACAAATTGAGGACCATTATCCGATATAACTTTTAGGGGCGCCCCGTATTTTAAAATATATTTATTTAAAATAGAATCGGTAACTAATTTCGCGGAGGCTCGTTTTAAGGGAACAATTTCGGTCCATTTACTAAAATGATCAACCATAACAAGGAGATAGCGACTTTTATTTAACTGACTTTTTTTTAAAGGGCCCAATAAATCGATGCCAATTATTTCATTTGGAAATTCGGATTTAATACTATTTAGAAACCCGGCCGGGCGGAAATTAATATAATTAACTGCTTGACATGTTGGGCAGGACTGGACATACGCCCTTGTTAACTTTTGCAGTTCAGGAAAGTAGACTGCCCTCGCGTACGCGTTGGATAGTTTTTCGAATACCAGCATTAGAAGCTAAAGGGCTGTCATGGAGCTCCTGCAGGATATTTAATCTAAGACTAGCTGGGATAACAGGTCGAAATTCGTTGTTGGAATTCGTAGTTTTTGTATAGAATAATAGACCATCTATTAGTTCGTAATGGGCCCGCCTCTATTTCTTATCGCCACAATATCTTGGTGGCTAAAATTTTCAGGATCCTTCAAATACTCATAAATACTTCCAAACTCAGGATCCTTACCCAGTTCGGTTATTACAGTTTCTCGGGAATTTATTGTACACGCTGTAAGCATTGCAACTTTACGGTATTACCCTGTTCGTCTAAATTAATTCGTGATAGGGCATCTGCTACGATATTTTCCTTTCCGGGGGTATGCTTGATTACCAGATTTTATTCTTGCAGCTTGAGTGCCCATCTTATTAACCTTGGGGATAAATTTTTCCCTGAGTACAATCTAGTTACCGCGGCATGATCAGAGTATACTGTTATCGGCGCCTTTCCAAAATAGACTCGGAACTTTTGCACTGCTAACAGAACTGCAAGTGCCTCTCTCTCGGTCGCGGAATAGTTTCTTTGTGTTTGATTTAAAGTTCGGCTAAAAAATGCCACGGGCTGCTGATTTTGCGAAAGTACCGCTCCTACCGCATAATCCGAAGCATCCGCTGAAATTTCTAAATTTTCATCCTTTTCAGGAAATTTCAACACAGGGGCTTGCGTTAATGCTTGTTTTAATTTTTCGAAAGCACTATTGGCTTCGGCCGTCCACGAGAATCTTGCCTTTTTCCTTTTTAATTTTAACAATGGCTCAGCGATAGCTGCAAAATCTTTTATAAAGGACCTATAATATGAACAAAGTCCTAGAAAAGAAGAGAGCTTCTTGCCGTGTTTGGAGTCGGATACTTTTGTACAGCGATTATTTTTGATTCATCTGTCTCGATCCCTTTTTGCGATATTTGTAACCTAAATATTTTAATTCAGGGGCTGCAAATTTGCACTTTTCGACATTAACTTTTAGACCGGCCTCATTTAATAAAAAACACCTGTCTTAAATCCTGTACATGTTGGTCGAGATTATCACTAGTAATAATGATATCGTCTAAATAGATAAATGTGGACTTTCCAAGAACAGGTCTTAACACAATGTCCATGCATCGCTGAATGAAATGTTGCCGGGGCGCCTGAAAGGCCAAACGGCATACGCAAAAATGCATAAGTGCCAGACTTGGTTATAAAAGCAGTCTTAGGCACGTCCTCAGGCCTGACCCCTATTTGAAAATAACCATTCGTTAAGTCTAAAGTCGTCATAAATTTGGTTGATTTTATGTTCCTTAAAATTTCTTCTATGATCGGTAACGGATATACCGGATATTTCGTTATGGAATTTAATTTACGGTAATCAATAGCGAATCTCCACCTTTTTGGATGCTCCAAAGGATAATCATTATTTTTCTTACATAAAACCACCGGGCTAGCATAACTACTTGAGATGGGCGTTATGATCTTTTTACGTAGCATATCGGTAATATGCCATTCTATAATTTTTTCCTTATTCTTATCATACCGGTATGGTTTTTGACGAACTGGCAATGCATCTCCGGTGTCAATACTATGGTTAGTAACCTGAGTAAATCCTGGAATATCACTAAATAACGAAGCAAATTCACTTACCACTTGTCGGATTCTTCGTTGCTCGTCATTAGGCAGGTGGTCAAGATTTAACCTTGGCGGTTCAACCTTTTCTACACGCACTGGTTTCATTGTCAGCTTAAGGGACGCTTCATTAAAATCCAGTGTAGCTTGTGCGCCTGAAAGAAAGTCTATTCCTAAGATCAAATTTGCTTGCAGATTCTTTACTATAAAAAACATCACCTTTACTTGTTCGTCCTTGATACGGATATACAAAGGTACTTTACCTACGCACTTACATTTTTCCCCTTGCGCCGCTAATACTGTCGTATTATCCGCGTTATATATGCGGTATTTGCGAAAATACTTTCTAAAAAGGACTTCTGCCACATAGGAACACTGCGCGCCGGTATCCAGGAGTGCGGTGGCCGGGATATTATTCACCAAGACTTCAATCTTCGGAAGAGTCAAATTTTTCACCATTACTGTATTTAACTTGTAGGAAGAGGGGTTTTCGTGGCCTTCGGATTTCCGCACCCTCTCGTCAGCAGAAATCCGTTTTAGTTTAAATTATTTTCCCTTTCCGTGCTTTCCTTCTTTTTCCCCTGGCCTTGAGACTTTTTTCCTGGGTTGCTATTGAACTGTCGACGTTCGCCGGCTGTTTTTGAATGCTCGGGTTTCCTTGCCCACTGATTCGCTTTTTCTCCGTAGCCGTATGCTTGAGTTTGCTGTAGTCTTGGCGTACCAAATTGGTTTTCGCTGTTGATATTGGCATCTTCTTTCGACGTCCGCCCTTCTTCTACTTTCAAACTGGATTGCTAGCTCAAAATAACTTTTCCAGTGTAGTCGGATTTCTTAATTCAATAAAGTCTTGCACTTGGGGGGCAGTAACCTCGGCAAAATCACTTGAATTATTTCAGGATCCGGACGGTTTCCATACAAGAGCTTGAAAACGTGAATTTTTCTTAAAATAAAGCTCGAGAGGTTTTCGATTCTTTGTTGATATATACTGAAAAGTTCCGTTTCTAATTTCGCACGATCCCTTACAACAGGGAAGGCTTTTAGTAGGGCAGTCTTGAAATTTTCGTAAGTATAGGTGGGACTTCCTGCTTGACCCCAAGAGACTTCTGCCGATACATTTGAACCAGTTAAGCGCTTGGCCCCTCAAAGCGCTGGTAGCTAAGGTAACTTTTTGAAACTCGTGCACGGGGTAGAGCATGAAGTGGTCATCCAATTTTTCCAAAAAACTGGTTACCGGTGAGTTTCCATTAAACGTTGCTTCTGGTTTCATCGAAGCGCGCATGGTCTGGACGATGTAACCAAATCCTTCCAGGGCGGCAGCTGGCATTTCTGGATTCTGAGCCGCTTCTGCAGGCAGCACAGGTTCTTCTTGAAACTCGGCCATGGTTATTCTTCTTCTTCGTCGGGCGCCACTATCAGGTTCAATGTTCCTTCTAACCTTCTTCGGGAACATACAAGGACCTGACTCGGAACGGAGAGCTTACTAAAGCTATGTTCAACTAATTGTGGTAAGTAGACAGGATACAGACGAAGGTATACAAAACCCTTTATTTTTCTCTATATACAATAACTTCCGTACTTCGGAATACACTGACCCACCCATCGGGGTCTAACGTAAAATTCTAAAAAATAAAAACTAAACTAATTTAACTTTAGAATAATAACACGTGGAAGATTGGCCTTATAATAGCAGGAAGCCGTATGTAGCACAGAGACTGTGAACACTACAATACGTTTTAATTTATCAAGAGGATTAAAACCTCTGTCCTGGAAGGCAAATAGCAACTGCATAACTTCTAAGGTAAGCGGCCTGCTTCGAACTCACTGCTTCCTCTCTCTCTTGCTTGGCAAAAAGCCACAACTTAAGTACTTGGCGTTCGCCAGACAAACTTTGCATAAAATCCTTAACGCTTATAATTCTGGCCGGAAGTAGAAAATAAGAAGTGAAAGTAAAGATTTAAAATAAAATAAACGTTAGTAAAACTTAAGATCCTAAAACTAAAACAATAACATATTAGCAAACGTGAAAGAAAATAATTTGATATTTAACTAAGCAATTTGTATAGAGGTAACTGATGCAGTTATTTATTTTTCTTTTTCTAAGCATTTTTAGACTGTATCTCTCATGAAGAATTATTAGTAAATTATTTTGCTATTTTGCTCTTGAACTGAATTTTATGGTCTAAGTGCGAAGAACGTGATATTAAATAAATAAAGGTAATAGACAAAATGTTTAAAAAACGCCCCTTTGGACATAATTTCAAATTTGAAACCTTTCAGATTTTCTTTTCGTTTTTTTATTTTATTAAAATTTGTTTTAATTTTTTGCTGTAGCTTGCGCATTAAAAGCATTAAAAGAATTCTTAGTTTACATGCTCTGTGCATTAAATACATTTCTGCAGAACCGTTCCCAAAGTATACCTGTTTTGGGACTATTCATAAATCAATTAGCGCAAATATTCGCATTTCAGCGTATATCCGAATTTATAAGTAAACGTCCTTGAAAATTTAGAACCTGCAATTCTACTTTCAGAAGTTTTAGCTTATCGGATTGGGATGGAATAATTTTAATTCTTTTAATTATTTATTCGCTGGAATAATTTTTTATTTATTTGGCGCATATTGTATATTTTATTTATTAAATTTACTTTTTTTTAATTTTCAGACTCTTCGCTTCAGCGATGTCAAGACTTAGCGAACAGAGTTTAGTTGTCTTGTGCTGCTTCACATGCCTATATCTATGTGCAGAAGCTCTCGACTGCAGGTTAGTAAATTAATTCTCATTAGATACATTATTAATTCTGTACCTATTTCTTTTTATTGCAGTGGACTGCATGTCAAATTCAGTTATTGTTCCTTTTTGTAAGCATTGACGTAAAACTGATTTTGGAAGATTTTAATGATTTAGTTAAAGAACTCAGAATAACATTTTTTTTTTTGCTTCTGTTATATGAAATACCCATTTCACACACCATTGCTTTAATTTCAATTCCACTGATAGTTTTAAAAACAGTTCATAAGGTATTTTCTCCCACCTTCCAGCATGCTTTCGTGGTATAACAATAGCACACACGGCGCGTAATCGCGAGAGGTTCAAGTTCGAATCCCAGCAAAAGCCTTGCACATTTCTCACATCTCCTGCTTCAAAATAATGTAATGACTCTACAAGTTAATACTTAAATAAATATTTTCTTCTTAAATAATGACCCGTTCTTTTTCTTCCTGCCGTTAATTAAGAAACTGCAATTTTCAAAATCTTTCATACACCCTTATAATCAGTTAATTGCTTTTATAATTGATTAACAAAAATAATTCTTCGCCAACAAATGGCTGCTGTTAAAATGAACTATATTTCTCTTTCTAGATAAAAGCGTTTACTAATAAATATTACGCAAATGAATTTTTACTGTATTTTATAAAATTTAAAAGCGTATTCTAAGTTGATTTCCTTTGGAATGCAATTATTTTCAAGCTTAATTGTGATGTACTCTGATGGGAAATTTGAAGTAAATGTAGAGACGCAGAACAACATTAAAAGAGAGGAAAATCCCCACGAAAGGAACCAGTCACGTAATATTAGGATTTCAGTAACCTTTCAAAGACTTTCTTCTCTAAATCATTGATCACGGAACGTCAAACTAAATAACTGCCAAGAAGACAAACAGAAGCAAAAACACAATCAAACCTCGAAATAGCTCCAAGGTAATTTCTTTCTTAGATGATTCAACTAGGTGCATTTTATTCGCTCCGCGATGGCAACACGCAGAACAACTGGGATAATCATCGCAAGAAATTTAGTTCTTTCGGCCTATTCGGGAAAGAAAATATTGCTTGCGAGGATGAATCCTCCGAAAGGAAAGAGCTAATTTCAATTTAAATTAAATTTTGGAAACGAAGAGTAAATACCAAGCGTACAAAACAAAATAATAATAAAATAAAAAATCTGCAATTTTAAACTGAAAAAGTCGAATACCTTGATACTAATAAAGTCTAATACCTTGAACAATTTACCATTAAAAATTGGAAAACTTAAAAACAATATTTAATAAACCAAAAATATTATACAATTAAAAGAAATTGTGATCTGATCTTGGCATGTAGATTCAGTTTAATGCCCTGAAACAATTAAAGCCTGTACAGTTATGGTAAACATTTTAGTTTAGGAATTAGATCCTCCCCAATTGAAACATATAAAATGCATTAAATCCGCAGATATTAGAAAATATATTCAAATTGAACTGTCAATGAACAATATTTTGACTCTAATATTTTTGTTTATATTTTTTTTTTCTAACTGCAGCTTCTGAGTAATATTGCACGAGCTTCAAGCAAATGCAATCGTTTTCTTTGCTCTATAGGTTTTTTTTATTCATTAGCTATTCATTATATTATCTATGTTTGTAACAGTTTATGTTTTAGAGAATGGCATATAATATGTTGTTCTTTTTAGAGAGTTAGTGTAACTTTGTTTTCTCATTTGAGAGTATGAGTAAAGGAATTATTTAATAATTGTAGAGTCATAAATAACTAAAGAGATATAGATAGATATTTCCAAGTAATAAATAGTTCTTGAGGTAACAAATTTGGCGAGAAATTTTGAACATTTGTCAAAGTAACAAAATGGTGGAGGAAAATAGCAGTGATATTATTTCGCTGCCTATTAACGCTATATAGAAGCTTATAAAGTTGTTTAATCGTCTTTTTAATCTTTCTGTATTATTCAAAATATACACTGCGGGGAGGGAAGGGGGACAGTTCTATATCTCCCGTTCTACTGGACCGATTGAAGTTGGAAATTCCACTTGCGTTTTTCATGTCTCGAAAGCGCAACTTAGGATATTTATTAGATTCATATATAGCGTTGTTCCAATATAGGTATTTTGACACAAAGTCGGACTTTTTCTGAAATGACATGCCATTTTTTCCATATTTCGATTCTACGACTCAAGTTATGCCAAACTGCCAAATTTTGTAAAAATCGCAGGAGTAGGATTTTTAAAATATTGCTCACAAAATTTAAGCTCCTCAGTGTTAATTGAATTACATACATATTTATTAATATCTCTGACTTTATTAAACTTACTTGATTCTACCTTTCACATTTCTAAATTCAGGTTCATTCCAAAAAAATTCGCCAAATTTTTATAAATTATTTTTAAAATTTGTATTTTTCATAAATTTTTCGAGAAACCATTTCAATTATAACGTATAAAATTTTTGCCATCAGCTTAAAGTAGATGTATTTCTAAGCATACCTGAAAAAATTAGAGTTTTTTATTCAAAATTTCCTAAGATATTAGCGGATTTATATTTTGGCGCCTTTTGACATTTGGCGTATTTATTAAAAAGCGATAATAACGAAAATGTGGTGCAGCACTTTGTCAATATTATTTGAAACGTATGAACGGTGACTTTTTTCCTCCGCTCGTGCAAAAAAGAAAAAATCTGATGTGCACACCACATGATTTCCTTGTACGGAATATTAAATTATACGCATTTTTTCTTGCATTTCGTTTAAACTTATTGGATTGAATTAAATCTTACTTCGCCGAAAGACATAAACCACAATAGAATAAATGCATTCTTAAAATTCACTCTGTTTATCATAGCGACACTCTGGCGCTAGGTCACTTAAAAGTATTATATTTCGTTCATATATAATCAGATGCACAAAATTTTTTCTATCGTTGCCACATGTTCTATTCAAATACTATAATAAAGCTAGAATGAGTATAAAAAAAAAAAAAAAAAAAAAAAAAAAAAAAAAAAAAACAGATTTTCACGGACGATTAGTATTTCTCATTCAATTATTCAGTTCTCACTTCGCGAAAAGGTTAAAAGTACATAAAAACTCAAAGTATCTGTATTAAAAATTGCGAAGTAAATCTTAAACACTTATTTCCTCGAAAAAAATTCCAGAAAGGATTAAGCATGATTTAATTCGCAATAACAAATGAAGGCGTTATTTCTGTTGTTGCGAAGCTACGTTTCTCTAGATTGGCAACAAATCCACTACTCTGCTGTTTCAAATGTAAACAAGCAATGGCCGCCATCAAAAAAAATATTAGGCTTAGCGGCACAACTTTAAGATTTTAAAACTTTAACAACTTTAAAACAACTTTAAAATTGTTGGTAATTCTAAAAATATTGCATACAGATTTCCTAAATGCATAAAACTTTAACCGGAAGATAAGAACAACATAATTCAAGCATTTTTAGAGCAAACAATGTACAATTTACAAACATATAAGAGTAAAGAAACTGAGATCACTGAGCCGGGTAATAGAGGGGATATATATATAAATATATTTATATATGTTTAGCGCGGCCGATTGCAACCAAAATGCGAAGTGCACATCTACATGTTATAGAAGTCCTATCTACAAAATTTCAACGTTCTGAGGCTACTCGTTTCTGAGTTATGCGAGATACGTACGTACGTATGTACGTACATACGTTCGTACGGACGCCACGAAAAATTCTCTTCGGAATTAATTTTAAAGCAGTTTTATAATTTTTTGGAGGAAAAGAGTCTTTTATTCTGTCCTTACGTACAGATATCATGCAAAAACTTTGTTAAATTGCATTCGAAAAGCGGTCAAAATGGATATTTCGTTGAAATATGCTGCCTGAAACTTTTCGCAATTACAATACTTCCTTTTTACTTCGTACAAGGAAGTGAAAGGCAAAGTTTGCTATAAATTAAGAAGTTTGCCGAGTGAATTTTTCTTGGCGCAAACTAAAAAACAAATTCTCCATGATAAATTTTTAAATTCCTCCGTAAATGTCGCCCGAAATTTTACAAAATTTAATATTTAGGTATAATTTGAGTCGTAAAATCGAAATATTGAAAAAAATTGGCATGTTATTTCAGAAAAAGTTCGATTTTTATGTTAAAATACTTATGTTAGAACAATGCTATATAGAAATCTAGTATATATCCTAAGTCAAAAAACGCAATTTGAATTTCGTCATTCGGCCCAGTAGAACAGGAGATATAGAGTCTTCCGCCTCCTCTTTTTCGAAGTGTACTTGTGAATTTATACGTTAGTCCCGTATGAGATATAAGTCTTAAAACGGCATTTTGCGTTGAATCAAAGTAAACGCATTAACACTTTTTAGACTGTTGACACCAAATATTATCATTTTGTGTTACATTTAAAGAAATTATATAAGGAAGAATCTAAATGAACATGTGCATGTTTCTCGCACTGTGAAAAAACGACGTCACCTAGAGCTATCAAATTCTGAATAACATAGTCCTCCATCCAAGAATGGGCACCTGGAAGCTCGAATTTTGAATTTTGAATTCCTTTTATTATTTATTTCACATTTTGAAAAACTTTAACGAATTTTTCATTAACAAACCTAACGAGCAGTGGCAACACTCCACGGAACAAAACCTTTTTTGTATCCAGCGCGCGACACTGTCTATTGGAAAGTCTAAAGATATGTTGTTTTTAAATATTTTGTGATTTTGCTGTTGAATCAAATTCTGTGCGGCATAAGAGCTAAGAACGTGTTTACTTTGGTAGTTAAAGTGAACACACAAAACGTTAATAATTAAGAAAATGATAAATAATTTTTCTAGCCATCTAACTAAGCAAATTGAACACTGATATGATAAACTGAGAAAACAGTGAAAAATATATTAAAATGTATGCCAACATTTAACCCTGCTTCGGGAATTCTAAATGTATACTACAATGTTGCTTTTAAATTTTTTTTGTAATTTTGCTGTTGAGTTTTATATAGCATAAGTGC